CGCCATGTGGATTATGGGTTGGCCTCCCTGCTAGACAGCAAGTCTCCCAAGGATCACCGTGTACTCAGACCTTAGTGCTGCCCAGCCCTGGTTTGGCTGAATGAGGATAGCTTGTAAAGAAGGTCAATAAGTTCCATGTTTTTCTGGTAAGAAATACTAGAAAATCATGAGATGGCCTCTAGTATGTATAGAAAAGTGTTCTGAAGATTAAGTATGGACTAAGTGAGAGCCCCCTCCCCATAAAAAAATACCACTTTCTTTACTGTAATGGCAATCAGTTAAAAAAGAAAAAAAGAAGAAAAACAACAACAGAAATGTCTACTTTTGTGTGGATATAGACACCAATACTGGCTCTTCTCAAATCAGCTGGCTTTTGGGGGCAGAAGCACCCTCTGAGAAGGCAGGAGGGTTGAGAGGGGAGAGAGGTCAAGGGAAAAAGAGCTGATGAAACCAACGGCTGTTTACTCAATTTACTTAAAGCAGGTTTCGGGCCCAAAGTTCTTTGGGCACCTGTACAAAATCTAAGTTCAGTATTTAAAATGTATTCTCCTTTTCAGGTGAAGACATACAAACAATCCCCTTCTAAACCCAGCACTGTTTCCAGTTAGAAGGAGATTGGGAATTTTTCAGCTCCCTAGAGGCTGAGACACCTTGTTTCTACTGCTTCCCTCCTCCTGTGCCTTGAGAGTCAAAGGACCTCAGCTCCCCGTTTATCAGCTGGGTAGTCCCAGGCAAACTGCTTTTCCTCTGGGTGCCTCTTCATCGGCTCACTGGTGTTTCTCTGGGCATAACAGAGTTTCTGCTCATGGTCTGAATGTCAAACCCAACTGCAGTTCCCTGAGGAATCCAATTGGCAATAATACGTTTCACTTGGATGGCACATGCATTGACTCCTTATAAAAGACACGAGAGAAGGTATTGTATTGCCCATTTTACAGATGAGAAAAACGAGGTAGGAAAAAAATCATATAGATTAGTTGAATTATATCTTCAAGTCCAATATTTTTACTTTACATCATCTGCTTTTTAAAGAATTCATTGCTTATTTAAAAAAAAATAGTTCCACAAAATTACTTCCTCGGAAAAGATTCAAACAATATAAATAATGCAAAAAAGTTCTCTGGACCTCCCACCCAATTCCTGTTGCCACTGTAGCATAATGGCTCTTATACAAACATCCATTGACACATGTACATATATATGTAAATCTATGTAAATAGATAATTTTGTTTCACATTTTAACAAAATTTACATGAATAATATTATACTGTTGATATTGTTCTAAAACTTGCTCTTTTTTCTTAAAAATTAAGCTTTGTCTTAAAGATAGTTCTATGACAGTACATATAGATCTGTCTTGCTCATTTCATCTACCATAGGTTATTTCAGAGTATGGCTGTGCCACAGTTTATTTAACCATATTTTTTTACAGATGGGTATTTGTTTTCAGTTTTTGGCTGTTGCACCTTTATATATTTCTTTGTGCACGTGTTTAAACATGTCTCTGGGGAATATACAGCAGTGGCATTGCTAGGTGTTAGGCAAGTCACACTGAGAAAAAATTAATGACTACTGTTAAATGGTATTCCATACGGGCTGTACCAATTTCCATCTCCACTACCCTGCAAACACTGGATCTTACCAATCCTTTTACCTTTTGCTAGTTTGATTTACAAATATCTCATCTTACATTCCTCCTTCCTGAATACTCTGAGACTCAGCATATCTCATCTTGCGAATTCCTTATGAGTGTCCTCAGCCCACCTTGCCATTGACTTGTTGGTCTTCTTACTAATTTGAGGGAGGTTTTTATATTCTGTCTATTGACTTCTGTTATGTAAGCCACACATATTTTCTCCCGCATTGTTGCTTTTTTTGAAACTGTTTACAGTGTCTTTTTTCATATAAAATTTAAAAATTTTGAGGTAGTAAAATGAATTAACCTTTTTTTTCATGGTTTTTGCACTGTGTTTAAGAAGCTCGTCTGTAATTCAAGTTATTTATCTACCATCAGATCTATTTGTAATATTTCACATTTATTGATTTAGCTCTTTAGTTCACTTGGAACTTATTTTTGTAAATGGTGTCTTATAGTATGCCATTGGTTTTTTTGGATTTTTTTTGTATCTCCCAACTCTGAGTTTTTATTGATGCTCCAAAACTCTTTCCGTAAGTCTGCCTTAGCTCCTGAAATAATGCTGTCCCCTTTTTCCAAGACCCTCAGCCACATGGGAGAAAGCAGGCACATGTCTGGGGAACACTACATACAGTGCAAGGCAGGAAGAATTTCATTCCAAAAGAATAGTGCACATAAAATGTGCAGTTAAGAAAACTTTCTTGAAAGAGGCGGCACTTAAATCACAAGTGGAATGAGAGGTTGTTTAGCCTGACTGGCGTGTGTGGTACAGGAAAGCGTGGGAAGCTCGACAAGGCGGGCAGGCTTGACCGAGCAAGGGTCGGCCAGCTGCCGTCCATGGGCCGGATCCGGCCGCCGCCTGCTTCTGTGCAGTGTGTGCGCTGAGAGTGGTTTTCACATGTTTAAATGACTAAAAAAAAGAAGATTATTATTTTATAACATATAGAATAATATGAAATTCACATTTCAGTGCCCATAAGTAAAGTTTTATTGAAACATAGCTGTGTATTGTCTGTGGCTGCCTCCGTGCTATAGCGTAATTGAGGAGTGTGACAGAGACTGGATGGGCCACGACGCTGAGAATATTTCCTCTCTAGCTTTTTTAGAAACAGCTGACTGGCCCCTGATACAGGGACTTGAATGCAGGTTTAGGAGTTTGTCTCTTACGTGCTGGACAATGAGCAAGGAAGCATCCGACAGGCTCTGTTGATAAGGAAGGTGGCTTTTGGGAAGGGGAAGGTTTGCAGGCGACAGAGAGAGGCAGGGAGATGCATTAGGCTGACTGCGAAATAATCTAAGGAACAAGTCATTGGACTCCAACTCTAGAAGTTGAAAAGAGGAGAAAGAAATGTGACAGATTCACGTATTTATTATTCATTTATTTATTAAGATATGGTGATTTATAATTAGAAATATACATTTGGTCTTCATGCCCAGTCCCTGAAATGGGGCTCCCCAAACCCCTGTAAATTCCAGAGTCATAGGAGCACTAGAGGCATCTTATGTTCCAATGAGGTGACTCTGGGTGGGCTCCTGGGTGGCTCCTGGGTCGGGGCTGGTCACCAGAAAGATGAAGCAGTAAGAAAGGCCAAGGTTGTAATTTTCAGCTCCACCTCCCACTTCTTCAGGGAGGGAAAGGGGCTAGGAATGGAGTTAATAACTGATCGTGCCTACATGAGGCAGCCTCCCTAGAACCCCAATAGTATGGGGCTCAGAGGGCTTCCAGGTTGGCGAGCACAATTATGTACCGAGAGGGCCACGCTCCCCAACTCCACAGGGACAGAAGCTCCTGTGCTCAGACCCTCCCAGGCCTCCCCCTGTGTGCCTTTTTATCTGGCTGCTCATCTGTACTTTTTATCATATTCTGTAATAAACTGATGAATGCGAGTGTGTCCCTGAGTTCTGTGAGCTATTCTAGCGAATAATTGGATCCAAAGAGGAGAAGGTCATGGGAACCTCTGATTTGCAGCCAAGTCCGACAGGAAGTGGTGGGTGACCTGGGGGCTGACTACTTGCAATTGGCATCTAAAGTGTGTGGGAAAGTGGCGGTCCCACGGGACTGAGCCCTTAACCTGTGGGATCTGACACCATCTCTGGGCATCTAGTGTGAGAACTGAGTTAAATTGTAGCACACCGAGCTGGTGTCCTAAAATTGCTTGGTGTAGGGGAACTCCCCCCGACATTGGGTGATCAGAAGTATCACAAAAAAGTGGACTGTGTGAAAGTAGAGGGGGAAAACTGGGTTTTCTCAAAAGAGCTGCTTTGTTGAGAGTTTTCTGTGAGCTGGGCACAGTTCTGGAAGCTGAGAGCANAGCTTCTTTGTTGAGAGTTTTCTGTGAGCTGGGCACAGTTCTGGAAGCTGAGAGCAGTGACGAAGGTGGAAATGTCAGAGGCTGGCAGCTCTTCAGAGATGGGGAACGAACACCAGTTTGCTCGGGCTGCCATAACAAAATGCTACAGACGGGGTGGCTTAAACAACAGAAATGTATCCCCTTACAGTCTGGGGCCAGAAACCTGAGAGCAAGGTGAGGGCAGAGCCGTGCTCCCTCTGAAGGCACTAGGCAAGGACCTGTTCCAGGCCCCTCTCCAGCTTCTCGTAATTCCTTGGCTTCTGACAGCACAACTCCAGTCTTTGCACGGTGTACTCTCCCGGAGGTGTCTTAGTGTCCAATCTCTCCTTTTAATGAGGATGCCACCTGTATTGGGTTAGTGGCCCACGCTACTCCAGTATGACCTCACTTTAACTTAACTAGTTGCATCCCCAATGGCCTTATTCTGAGATAAGGTCACATTTGGAGGTAACTTGGGTTAGGACTTCACATGCAAATTTGCAGGAGATGAAGCTTAACCGGTGACAACTACCAGAGCCTGGCACAAGGTACTGTTCAAAGAGATCATTCTTCCTCCACAGCCTGCCTCTGCTCTTAGCAGGAAGGGAATTTCCTCCTGAGCTTCCCCTTTACTTCTGGCCCCTCTTGCTAAGCTCTTCACTCAGCCCTTCCCTCGGAGGGAATTGTTGATTTGGTGGGTCGGTGCCTGCTCTTTCTGTTCATGTCCACTGGTGGGTGAGGCCGCTGTGGCAACGCTTTCTGTCCCCATGGGGAGCCACCCTTCTGGCCAGCACCCTGCATACCTTCTGGTTCCAACTACAGGTACTAGGAAAAGTGAGCCCAGGGCTGTTTTACAGATCCAGCCACATTTCATGCTCCTTGTAGGGGCGCCCGAGTGGTCAGCCTGGGGTATGCGTCAGACCTGACCCCATTAGGATGGAACATGCAGATGATCAAAGTTTGTGAAAACGTCGGCGATCAGTGCTCACTGATATCAACACCACCATCAGTGAGAGGCCATCAAGAAGCAAGGATTTTTTTTTAAAACAAAGTTTACTTTATTACATCAATTTTACACAGTAAAAGAATCTGGATGCAGACTTGTCTAAATTTTCTTGCTGATTCTCTTGAAGACAATGTCGCCCAATGTCATGGTCTGAAAGTCAGAAAAGAAATCATGCATTACCCATCTGATGTTGAATCGCAAGAGATAACTAAGCCATCAAAATAGCTTTAAATATGCTGACAGATCAAACAGCCCAAAGATTCCACTGTTTCCTTACAGGACCAGAGAAAGGGTGGGTGGGCAATCTTTTTGTCACTTTAGTTCCTCACATGGAGAGTTGTCTTGACTCTTACTGAGTTCTTTTCTACATTAGTGGTTGTTAGAGCAAGACCATCAAAACCAGTCTCTTCCAGTCCAGTTTCTCAAAGTTTCATTGAGTGCCTACTATGTACCAAACATGTTAAATAGCAAAGGCACACCTAGGCACCCAGCCTGGAACACAGCAGGTAGAGCATAGTTTCCCTCCCAAAGCTGTCAAGCATATAAAAGCTGGATTTCTTGGGCTCATCATTTTTTGAGTGTTTGAGGCATGATCCTTTCTCTTCCTGCCCCTCGCTCTCACTGATTCTCTTGAACAAGATTGTGGCAATGATGCCGGGTAATGTCATCAGAGTTAAAAAGGAGTCTCTTAGCTTCGGCAACAATAGAATGGAATAAAAAGATTTGGGTTTGAACCTTGGTTCTATAACTCGTTGTAGATGACCTTGAACAGGTCAATCAGTCTATTAAACCCCTCATCCAGCCTCCCTCACAGGAGATATAAGGATTAGAGGGGAGGGAGAATATCAAAGGACATTGGCTGGGGCTTAACCCAGGACAGATCCTCTCTGGTGCCTCCCTGCTCTGCTGTGAATGTGCCCGGGTGGGGTCGGGAAACCTCAGGTTTCATGCTTGACTCTCACACTCTCCCTAGTTGAGGGATTTTCCCACTTGAACTGAGTGATGACACATCCTTTGGGAAGCATTCTGCCTGTTGTTATTCCCTAAAATATAGCCTAGGGAAAGGCAGACCCAGGGGGTATAATTGATGGAGAAACACTGTGGTGATCAGAGAGACTGGCCAGCAGCCAGGCACCAAGGGGGATGTGGCACACAGCCAAGGCAGTGTGCCAGATTCATAGCAGCCATAACATTGCCATGGGTATTATTGCCCTATAAATGCCAAAGGACAAAAGCATTTACTGAGTGCCCCCGGCTCATAGGGCACACAGAGGTCTCGGTGGCTTCTTGGTTAGTGCTGAGGCAGAAGAGGAGGGTTCTGGCTAATAATTATTGCACTGTCATAAAATAGAAAAAGCAATGAAAGGCCTCAACTTTTGGCTAAATGAAGCCTTCTTTGTATGTGGGTTGTGTCGGTGGAAAGAGTTGCCCGTGAATCAGAGGCCCCAGGAGGCAACGAATGGATTTCTGCCCCCTAGCCGGTGACCGTGTCTTGTGGCTACATCCCAAGGAAGGTGGAAGGAGGAAGGTGGGCTGTGCTGTTAGCTCTGCATGACCCTGGGTCTCCTCCTACCAAGCACTTCTCTTGCCCCACCTTATTTAGGTTTGGGGAAGGAAGGGTAGGGCCGTGAGGAGGGAAGGAAAAGGAGCCCAGGAGGAGTGGGAAGCACCAGCTGGAGCATCTGCCAGCACATGAGGAGTCTTTAGTGAATCAGAAAAGGGGGCCCCTTCTTCACAACACTGTTCTTTTGTCTGTTGGAAAGCTACCCTCATGCATTGTACTGGTTTTGTTAGAATAATGCTCCTTACCAGCAGACACGGCAACATTGTAATAAGTATGCAAATCTCAACTGTCTCTGGTGGGAGTGGCTCCCCCTAAGGTGTGCAGTTGTACAACTGAGGTCGGCAGCCCTGAGACAGATCCCACTTAGAGGAACCCTAGCTCTGCCATTCTCTGGCTATTCGTTGCCTTGGTTTCCCCATTTAGAAAGCTCAGCGTTGCTGGGAAGATTGGAGGTAACGTGTGTCAACTGCCTGGTCCATAGTGGTCCTCAGTAAGTGGCAGCGGAGGCTGACAACAGCCAAGGTGGCGGGAAGGCCGCTCCTCTCTCTGCACCTTCTCCCCTCAGGCCCTGGGAGCCACAGGCTCAGAGCGTCAACTTACGTTGGTGATCGTGTCTCCGTTGAGTTCGGTCACGGACTTGATGCCTTTGAAAGATGTCACCAGTTTATTCTCACCTTCCATCTGAACCACCGCCTGCAGGGGACAGAAGAGATGGTCTGTGAGGAAGGGTCCGGGCAGGGAGCAAGACCCTTGCCAATGAGGTTGGCTCCCCTGCATGGGCCTCTGCTTATAACTACCACGCCTTTATATGAGGCCAACCTCCCAGCTCTCTGGCTCTAAACAGAAATGAGGTGCACATAATCTTACTCACATGTGGAATCTAATGAACAAAATAAACCGATGAGCAAAATAGATCCAGAGGCACAGAAGCATGGAGCAGACTGAGGGATCTCAGAGGGAAGGCGGCAGTGGGTGGGT